TGGAGGAAACTTAAGTAAAAGTTTTAAAAACAACCAATTCCTCTAAGGAAAGCTAGTACTCTTAATCAGACGTATACCGTTTAATGTGCATTTTAATTCCTCGAGATAGTCCTGCCTTTGTAGCATGAACTCAGATTAGAACAGAGAGATGGGAGGAGGCTATGCTGTAAATCCCAGCAGTTTCTAAATCTCACCTTTCCAAATGGTCACTCCACATCAAGGTTGAGGAACAACTGGCAGGGTAAGGAGGTGGAGCTGGATGCATAGTTTGTTTTGTGTGGTACCTTACCTGATCTGTGAACAGACAGAGGATTTCACAGCACACTTCTTTGAGTATTTTGAAAGAAAAGCAAAACCAAAAGGTGCATATCAAAGTCACTTTGGCTATGATGAATAAGGATGTTTTAGATATTACCTTCCTAGGACCATCTCATTTCTACTTCCAAGCTTTGACTCACACTTATTTCCTCTGACACTTAGACATCAAATACCACTTGCGAGCCGAGACCATGTCTGATATGACTGGAGAAGTTATCGCAGCACTTGTTAAACACTGAATAAGAACTCATTGACCTCAAGTGACTGGTGAAGAGAAATCTAATTCAACTACCCTCCAGCTGATTATTTTTCGTGATTTCCCATTGCTCTGGGATAAAGACTAGAATTCTTAACATGATATCAAGGGCTGTTTTATCTGGCCTCAGGACACAACTTCAGCCTCTTTTCAAACTTTTTGCCTTTTTCGTCTTCTGTGCTCAGGCTATACCAGCCATCTTCGAATATTAAGAACAGTGTCATCCTCCTTTATACCTCAGGGCCTTTGTACTTGCACTTTCTTCTGCCTGGAGTATGCTTCCATTTCTTCATCACCTGGCTAACTTCTACTCATCTGATAGATCTCAACTTGGAGAATCACTTCCTTGGAGAACATCCTGTTGACTAGGACTGGTCCCCCACTATACGACATCTACTATTATTTTTCTTTCAGGAACTGGTGTTATATGAAACGTATAGTTATGTGTGTGATTATTTATTGAATATGTGTCATTGTACCTAAGCTATAAGCTTCATGAGAGCAGGAACCATGCCTGGTTTTGCTTACCACTGAGTCTCCAGCAGCTACCACAGTGCCTGGCACAGAAATCATGGTGGATAGGCATTTGTGGCCTGAACGGACAATGCTGCACAGCCAGTCCCGAGGCCCATCCCTCAACAGCATTCTCCATGTTACACATCTCCTAAATTCATTGGATGTTACAGCCTAAAAACGATTCCTTTTTTCTTTTTATAAATTTCTCAGTAATTGTCTTTAAGAAAAAGACAAAATAAAATTAATTCCTCATAAAAATGTGTTACAAGAGAAAGGAGAAAGAAATAAAATCCAATGTTTCTTCAGTCTTTTAAAATTGGCTTCCTAAGGTTTTATTTTATCTCTCAAAAATTTAATTAAGATTATCTTAAGCAACATGGCCATCTTAAGTGGCATGGCCTTATACAAGCTGTCCAGACAGACATATAGTTTTCCAATTCTTAACTGTGTTAAGCTAATGGATGATTTCTGTTTT